AGTTGATTTTATTAGATGATACTGCAAGTATTTTAGTTGGTTGGCTATAGATAGTTTCTAGATTCAGAGTCTGGTTATAATTGTGCACGCTTTGTGTAAATACTTACTGGCAGTGGGTGATGTGTGTATATATCAGGTGAAATGTGACACTGACAGTATGTGTGTGTACCAAGTTAGATGTGACACTGACAGTATGTGTGTGTGTATCAGGTTAGATGTGACACTGACAATGTGTGTGTACCAAGTTAGATGTGACACTGACAGTATTTGTGTGTGTATCAGGTTAGATGTGACACTGACAGTGTGTGCATGTGTCAGGTTAGATGTGACACTGATAGTGTGCATATCAGGTTAGATGTGACACTGATAGTGTGCATATCAGGTTAGATGTGACACTGATAGTGTGCATGTCAGGTTAGATGTGACACTGATAGTGTGTGTATATCAGGTTAGATGTGACACTGACAGTGTGTGTATATCAGGTTAGATGTGACACTGACAGTGTGTGTATATCAGGTTAGATGTGACACTGACAGTGTGTGTGTGTGTCAGGTTAGATGTGACACTGACAGTGTGTGCTTGTGTCAGGTTAGATGTGACACTGACAGTGTGTGTGTGTGTCAGGTTAGATGTGACACTGACAGTGTGCATGTGTCAGGCAGTGTAGATGTGACACTGACACTGTGTGTGTGTGTATCAGGTTAGATGTGACTCTGACAGTGTGTGTGTCAGGTGGGTGTGTGTCAGGTTAGATTCTGACACTGACAGTGGGTGTGTGTCAGTGTTAGATGCCTGACACTCTGACACCTGTGTGTGGGTGTGTGTGTGTGCCTCTCCATTCTCCCACCTGGGTGGGTATGTGGGTGTGTGTGTATGTGCCTCTCCACTCTCCCACCTGGGTGGGTGGGTGTGTGTGTGTGCCTCTCCACTCTCCCACCTGGGTGGGTGGGTGGGTGTGTGTGTGTGCCTCTCCACTCTCCCACCTCAGGTAGATGGGTGTGTGTGTGCCTCTCCACTCTCCCACCTGGGTGGGTGGGTGCGCCTCTCCACTCTCCCACCTGGGTAGGGTGGGTGCGCCTCTCCACTCTCCCCCCTTGGTGGGGTTGGTGGGTGTGCCTCTCCACTCTCCCCCTGGGTGGGTGGGTGCACCTCTCCACTCTCCCCCGTGGGTGGGTGGGCCTCTCCACTCTCCCCCCTGGGTGGGTGGGTGGATGCCTGACACTCTCCCCCTGGGTGGGTGGGGCTGGGTGCGCCTCTCCACTCTCCCCCTTGGGTGGGTGGTTAGTGAGGGGGGGGGTGGGGCTGGCTGTGTCTGCCTCTCCACTCTCCCCCCTGGTGGGGGGGGGGGTGGGGCTGGTTGCCTGCCTGACACTCTCCCCCCTGGTGGGGGGGGTGGGGCTGGCTGCCTGCCTCCCCACTCTCCCCCCTGGGGGGGGGTGGGGCTGGCTGCCTGCCTGCCTCCCCACTCTCCCCCCTGTGGGTGGGTGGGGGGAGATGGGGGGCTGGCTGTGTGCCTCCCCACTTTCCCCCCTGACAGTGGGTGTGTGGGGGGGGGGGGTGGGGCTGGCTGCCTGCCTCCACACTCTCCCCCCTGGGTTTAGGTGTGGGGGGGGGGGGTGGGGCTGCTGCCTGCCTCCCCACTCTCCCCTGGGTGGGTGGGGGGGGGGTATGTGCTGGCTGCCTGCCTCCCCACTGTCCCCCTGGGTGGGTGGGGTGGGTGTGGGTGTGGCTGTCTGCCTCCCCACTCTGCCCCTGACAGTGTGTGGGTGGGGGTGGTGGTGGGGCTGGCTGCCTGCCTCCCCACTCTGCCCCCTGGGTGGGTGTGTGGGCTGGCTGCCTGCCTCCCCACTCTGCCCCCTATGTGTGTGGGGCTGGCTGCCTGCCTCCCCACTCTGCCCCCTGGGTGGTGGTGTGGCTGCCTGCCTCCCCACTCTCAGGCCCTGGGTAAGGGTGCTGGGGCTGGCTGCCTGCCTCCCCACTCTGCCCCCTGGGTGGGGGGGGGTGGTGGGGCTGGCTGCCTGCCTCCCCACTCTGCCCCCTGGGTGGGGACGGGGGTGATTGGGGCTGGCTGCCTGCCTCCCCATCTGCCCCCAATGTGGGTGGGGCTGGCTGCCTGCCTCCCCACTCTGCCCCCTGGGTGGGTGGGGCTGGCTGCCTGCCTCCCCACTCTTGTGTACCCCTGGCTGTGGGTTGTTTGTTTGGCTGCCTGCCTCCCCACTCTGCCCCCTGGTTTGGGTGGGTGGGGGGGGTGGTGGGGCTGCCTGCCTGCCTCCCCACTCTGCCTGTGTGGGTGGGGGGGGGGTTGTGGGGCTGTGCTGCCTGCCTCCCCACTCTGCCCCCTGGGTGGGGGGCTAGGGTGGGAGCTGGCTGCCTGCCTCCCCACTGTGCCCCCTGGGTGGGGGGTGGTGGGGCTGGCTGCCTGCCTCCCCACTCTGCCCCCTGGGTGGGGGGGTGGTGGGGCTGGCTGCCAGCCTGCCTCCCCACTCTGCCCCCTGGGTGGGTGGGGGGGGGGGTGGTGGGGCTGGCTGCCAGCCTGCCTCCCCACTCTACCCCCTTATGGGGGGTTGGTGGGGCTGGCTGCCTGCCTGCCTCCCCACTCTACCCCCTTGGTGGGGGGGGTGGTGGGGCTGTCTGGATGTGCCTGCCTCCCCACTCTGCCCCCTGGGTGGGTGGGTGGGGGGGGTTTCATTGGGGCTGGCTGCCTGCCTGCCTCCCCACTCTGCCCCCTGGGTGGGTGGGAGGGGGGGGTGGTGGGGCTGGCTGCCTGCCTCCCCACTTTCCCCCCTGGGTGGGTGGGTGGGGGGGGGGTGGGGCTGGCTGCCTGCCTCCACACTCTCCCCCCTGGGTCAGGGGGGGGGTGGGGCTGGCTGCCTGCCTCCCCACTCTCCCCTGGGTGGGTGGGGGGGGGTGGGGCTTGCTGCCTGCCTCCCCACTCTCTCCTGGGTGGGTGGGGGGGGTGGGGCTGGCTGCCTGCCTCCCCACTCTGCCCCCTGGGTGGGTGGGGGGTCACCTGGCTGGCTGCCTGCCTCCCCACTCTGCCCCCTGGGTGGGTGGGGCTGGCTGCCTGCCTCCCCACTCTGCCCCCCTGGGTGGGTGGGGCTGGCTGCCTGCCTCCCCACTCTGCCCCCTGGGTGGGTGGGGCTGGCTGCCTGCCTCCCCACTCTGCCCCCTGGGTGGGTGGGTGGGGGCTGGCTGCCTGCCTCCCCACTCTGCCCCCTGGGTGGGGGGGGGGGTGGTGGGGCTGGCTGCCTGCCTGTCCCACTCTGCCCCCTGGGTGGGGAGGGGGTGGTGGGGCTGGCTGCCTGCCTCCCCACTCTGCCCCGTGGGTGGGGCTGGCTGCCTGCCTCCCCACTCTGCCCCCTGGGTGGGTGGGGCTGGCTGCCTGCCTCCCCACTCTGCCCCCTGGGTGGGTGTGGCTGGGCTGCCTGCCTCCCCACTCTGCCCCTCGGTTGGGTGGGTGGGGGGGGTGGTGGGGCTGGCTGCCTGCCTCCCCACTCTGCCCCCTGGGTGGGGGGGGGGTTGTGGGGCTGGCTGCCTGCCTCCCCACTCTGCCCCCTGGGTGGGGGGGTGGTGGGGCTGGCTGCCTGCCTCCCCACTCTGCCCCCTGGGTGGGGGGGTGGTGGGGCTGGCTGCCTGCCTCCCCACTCTGCCCCCTGGGTGGGTGGGGGTGGTCTTCTGGCTGCCAGCCTGCCTGTCCCACTCTGCCCATGGGGTGGGTCGGGGGGGGGGTGGTGGGGCTTGGCTGCCTGCCTGCCTCCCCACTCTGCCACCTGGGTGGGTGGGTGGGGGGGGGGGTGGTGGGGCTGGCTGCCTGCCTGCCTCCCCACTCTGCCCCCTGGGTGGGGGGGGGGTGGTGGGGCTGGCTGCCTGCCTGCCTCCCCACTCTGCCCCCTGCTCACATGGGGGGGGGGTGGTGGGGCTGGCTGCCTGCCTGCCTCCCCACTCTGCCCCCTGGGTGGGGGGGGGTGGTGGGGCTGGCTGCCTGCCTGCCTTCCCACACATGCCCCCTGGGTGGGGGGGGGTGGTGGGGCTGGCTGCCTGCCTGCCTCCCCACTCTGCCCCCTGGGTGGGGGGGGGTGGGGCTGGCTGCCTGCCTGCCTCCCCACTCTGCCCCCTGGCTGGGGGGGGGGGGTGGGGCTGGCTGCCTGCCTGCCTCCCCACTCTGCCCCCTGGGTGGGTGGGGCTGGCTGCCTGCCTGCCTCCCCACTCTCCCACCTGGCTGGCTGGCTGCCTGCCTCCCCACTCTCCCACCTGGCTGGCTGGCTGCCTGCCTCCCCACTCTCCCACCTGGCTGGCTGGCTGGCTGGCTGCCTCCCCACTCTCCCACCTGGCTGGCTGCCTGCCTCCCCACTCTCCCACCTGGCTGGCTGTCTGCTCTATCACATGGGTGTCTTCTCTATCACATGGGTGTCTTCTCTATCATGCAAGCATCTACTGTTTTTGGTTCTCTTTTCATTTAGGGACCTTCTGTTGTGGGGATATCTTTTATGTTGCAGGATTTGTTCTGTGTCATGTGGATGTGTGCTGTGTCATGTGGATGTGTGCTGTGTCATGTGGATGTGTGCTGTGTCATGTGGATGTGTGCTGTGTCATGTGGATGTGTGCTTTTGTCATGTGGATTTGTGCTGTGTCATGTGGATGTGTGCTGTGTCATGTGGATGTGTGCTGTGTCATGTGGATGTGTGCTGTGTCATGTGGATGTGTGCTGTGTCATGTGGATGTGTGCTGTGTCATGTGGATGTGTGCTGTGTCATGTGGATGTGTGCTGTGTCATGTGGATGTGTGCTGTGTCATGTGGATGTGTGCTGTGTCATGTGGATGTGTGCTGTGTCATGTGGACTATTCAGTTGACCATTAGTTCTCATGGATGTATATCTGTAACTGTCCTAGCATGCATTCAGTGTTATTGTATATTTTATTCTCCAAAGTGGATGGAAAGTAAAAGTACAAAACAAGTGTTGCCAGGAAAGTGCAGCGCTGCTCTGGGAAACAGCCCTCATCTAAGAGAGTGTCTTCTGAAAAAACTGCAACATTCTAGACAAAGCCAGATTGCAACAGTTCTCATTGTAGTTGGGTCCAGTCTTGTTGGTAAAAGCATGACCAGCTTCATAAACATAAAACTCCAGATGTTTGACGGAACCTTCCAGCTTTTTCTTCAGCGGCTTCCATTCATCAGGGGAAGCAAATCCTTTTGTCTGTGGGAGACAGAGACAACGGCAACGTTTAGACAACAATATTTCTGTGTGACCCAGATTGTGTCAGTCAAAGGGTTTGGCACTAAGTCTGAACATTTCACTGCTTGTGGTGTGTGACAAGAGTTTATATGTCTAAAAATGAGTTGTGATGTGGGATGTTAGGTTCTTGTATGTGTGGCTGTTGTGTGTCTGTGTGATAGTTAAAATGTTGTGTGTATGGTTATTGTGTGTCTATGTGATTGTTAAGTTGTTGTGTGTGGCTATTGTGTGTCTATGTGATAGTTAAGTTGTTGTGTGTGTGGCTATTATGTGTCTGTGTGATAGTTAAGTTGTTGTGTGTGTGGCTGTTGTGTGTCTGTGTGATAGTTAAGTAGTTGTGTGTGTGGCTGTTGTGTGTCTATGTGATAGTTAAGTTGTTGTGTGTGTGGCTATTGTGTGTCTCTGTGATAGTTAAGTTGTTGTGTGTGTGGCTATTGTGTGTCTATGTGATAGTTAAGTTGTTGTGTGTGTGGCTATTGTGTTTCTATGTGATAGTTAAGTTGTTGTGTGTGTCTAAGTGATAGTTAAGTTGTTGTGTGTGTCTAAGTGATAGTTAAGTAGTTGTGTGTGTGGCTATTGTGTTTCTATGTGATAGTTAAGTTGTTGTGTGTGTCTAAGTGATAGTTTAGTTGTGTGCGTGGCTGTTGTGTGTCTATATGATAGTTAAGTTGTGCGTGTGTGTCTATGTAATAGTTAAGTTGTTGTGTGTGTGGCTATTGTGTTTCTATGTGATAGTTAAGTTGTTGTGTGTGTCTAAGTGATAGTTAAGTAGTTGTGTGTGTGGCTATTGTGTGTCTAAGTGATAGTTAAGTAGTTGTGTGTGTGGCTATTGTGTGTCTGAGTGATAGTTAAGTAGTTGTGTGTGTGGCTATTGTGTGTCTAAGTGATAGTTCTGTTGTGTGTGTCTAAGTGATAGTTAAGTAGTTGTGTGTGTGGCTATTGTGTGTCTAAGTGATAGTTAAGTAGTTGTGTGTGTGGCTATTGTGTGTCTAAGTGATAGTTAAGTAGTTGTGTGTGTGGCTATTGTGTGTCTGAGTGATAGTTAAGTAGTTGTGTGTGTGGCTATTGTGTGTCTAAGTGATAGTTAAGTTGTTGTGTGTGTCTAAGTGATAGTTAAGTAGTTGTGTGTGTGGCTATTGTGTGTCTAAGTGATAGTTAAGTTGTTGTGTGTGTGGCTATTATGTGTCTAAGTGATAGTTAAGTTGTTGTGTGTGTCTAAGTGATAGTTAAGTAGTTGTGTGTGTGGCTATTGTGTGTCTAAGTGATAGTTAAGTAGTTGTGTGTGTGGCTATTGTGTGTCTAAGTGATAGTTAAGTAGTTGTGTGTGTGTGGCTCTAGTGTGTTTAAGTGATAGTTAAGTTGTTGTGTGTGTCTAAGTGATAGTTAAGTTGTTGTGTGTGTCTAAGTGATAGTTAAGTTGTTGTGTGTGTCTAAGTGATAGTTAAGTAGTTGTGTGTGTGGCTATTGTGTGTCTAAGTGATAGTTAAGTTGTTGTGTGTGTCTAAGTGATAGTTAAGTAGTTGTGTGTGTGGCTGTTGTGTGAGATTGTCAGGTTGTTGTGTGTGTGATTATTGTATGTGGTTGTTGTGTGTGTGGCTATTATGTTGTGTGTATGTGCTTGTTGTGTTGTTGTGTGTGTGACTATTATGTTGTGTGTATGTGATTGTTGTGTGTGTGACTATTATGTTGTGTGTATGTGATTGTTGTGTGTATGTGATTGTTGTGTGTGTGGCTATTATGTTGTGTGTATGTGTTTGTTGTATGGATGTGTGTGTGACTATTATGTTGTGTGTATGTGATTGTTGTGTGTGTGACTATTATGTTGTGTGTATGTGATTGTTGTGAGTATTTTGTGTGTAGGGTTGATTTGCAGAGTGCTTGTTAGGTGGTTGTTGTATGAGAGAATGTATGGAGACATGGACTCAAGTGCTGTGTGCGATCCCCCCCCCCCCCCCCCCCCCCCTCCTCACATGTAAGGTATGAAAAGATAAACTGATGATATAGTTGAGTGCTGCTGGTGGAGTTGTGTTTTGCCGTAGAGACGACGACGCTCAAGAACCCATGTCCCACAAGTGGGTTGTATTGACCATGTGATGCTAGTCTCATATTTGTTTAGAACAAACTTGTTCCCAAAGGCTAAAAATGTGTGCTTACAGTCCCGTCTTAATTCCGCCTTTGCAGCACTGATCTTTCACGTTTGGCTCATATATCTAAAATACACACTTTATTTCCACAAGGTTAAGAACCTGGCACCCAGATCTGTCTGCATTCAGCCGTTCTAATCTTCTTCTTTTCCATACATCATTTCGTTCATCAGATACAGCAGTAGATAGCTTACATCGTGTAGAGAGAGATACCACATTGACTACTGACCTCGTCTTTCTCAGCAAAGTGACACTGTAGAGGGATCTTGATGGTGGACACATCACATAGCTGATCTGACGGTATACCATAGAAGGGAGCAGCAGCATCGATCTCGGGCACCAAAGCTGCAGCAGCCATTGACAGAGCTCCGCCCATACAGAATCCTGTTACGCCCACTTTTTTGCAGCCCTGACTTTTCAAATATCTGAAAGAAGATAAACTGTCTGCTGCCAACCATGTTATGATAGTCACACTGTATGAATATATATATAAAACGCACACACAGATAAACACCTTACAAGCAGTTAAGGAAGAGGTCAAAGATTATTATTTTCTAAACTACTTCATTCAACTATCACTTTTTTCGCTGTTTGATTTTTCATGGCTACATCCCAATAAGACGCGATTCAAACTTGCACGTGGAAATCCAGATTTTGCTTGTTATATGTTTACTTAGTTGTCTAGAGCAGATCATTATTTCAGTGAAGGTAGGCCAAGAACACCAATTATGTTTGTACAGACTGGCTCTCTAGAGATGGTCGTACGTCATTGGAGTGTATGAGGAGCTGTCCCTGCCACCAGAATGCCAAAACGTGCTATTATACAGACATGTTGCTAGACTTAGCAGAGTGAAGAGGATTTTGTCCCATTGGGCTTCCAAGCGGTGTCAGGAAACAGATCAGTTCTTGGCAAAGGAATGGTCGACCGCGACACCAAACAAACTTGCGGTGTCAGGAAACAGATTAGGATTCTGTGTAGCCAAAGGAGTGGTCGACCGCGACACCAAACAAACATGCGGTGTCAGGAAACATCAGTAATCTGTGTTGCCAAAGAAGTGGTCGACCTAACACCACCAAAACAGGCGGTTTTAGGAAACAGGTCAGTAGAGGTGATTTTTTAAAATTCAGTGTGCTTTCTGCATGGAAACATAATGTGAAATTGCAGACTGACCTACAGGCGTCACTGACAGTTGCTATTACCACATACCTGGAGTACATCACTGGCCCGAGAATTCTATGATGTTAGGTAAGGCATAGGGTGACCTTGATATCTGGATCTGAAAACGGGACATCCCACTGATTTATCTAGCTGAAAAGGTTACGTTCCACTGATATTTTCAGCTGAAAACGGGACATTTCACTGATATTTTCAGCTGAAAACGGGACATTTCACTTATATTTAATTATCCCACATTTCTGTTATCCAGGTCAATGTTAATGTTCTGATCACTTGCTCAACAGAAACATTAGGACCCGAACCATTGCCGCCAAGAAATCAACTAATCACTTGCTCGACAGAAACATTAGGACCCGAACTATTGCCCCCAAGAAATCAACTGATCACTTGCTTGACAGAAACATTAGGACCCGAACTATTGCCCCCAAGAAATCAACTAATCACTTGCTCGACAGAAACATTAGGACCCGAACTATTGCCCCCAAGAAATCAACTAATCACTTGCTCGACAGAAACATTAATACCCGAACCATTGCCCCCAAGAAATCAACTGATCACTTGCTGGATAGAAACATTAGGACCCGAACTATTGCCCCCAAGAAATCAACTAATCACTTGCTCGACAGAAACATTAGGACCCGAACTATTGCACCCAAGAAATGAACTAATCACTTGCTCAACAGAAACATTAGGACCCGAACCATTGCCCCCAAGAAATCAACTGATCACTTGCTGGACAGAAACATTAGGACCGGAACTATTGCCCCCAAGAAATCAACTGATCACTTGCTCGACAGAAACATTAGGACCCGAACTATTGCACCCAAGAAATCAACGAATCACTTGCTCAACAGAAACATTAGGACCCGAACCATTGCCCCCAAGAAATCAACTAATCACTTGCTGGACAGAAACATTAGGACCCGAACCATTGCCCCCAAGAAATCAACTGATCACTTGCTCGACAGAAACATTAGGACCCGAACTATTGCCCCCAAGAAATCAACGAATCACTTGCTGGACAGAAACATTAGGACCCGAACTATTGCCCCCAAGAAATCAACGAAGCACTTGCTGGACAGAAACATTAGGACCCGAACTATTGCCCCCAAGAAATCAACTAATCACTTGCTCGACAGAAACATTAATACCCGAACCATTGCCCCCAAGAAATCAACTGATCACTTGCTGGATAGAAACATTAGGACCCGAACTATTGCCCCCAAGAAATCAACTAATCACTTGCTCGACAGAAACATTAGGACCCGAACTATTGCACCCAAGAAATGAACTAATCACTTGCTCAACAGAAACATTAGGACCCGAACCATTGCCCCCAAGAAATCAACTGATCACTTGCTGGACAGAAACATTAGGACCCGAACTATTGCCCCCAAGAAATCAACTGATCACTTGCTCGACAGAAACATTAGGACCCGAACTATTGCACCCAAGAAATCAACTAATCACTTGCTCGACAGAAACATTAGGACCCGAACTATTGCCCCCAAGAAATCAACTGATCACTTGCTTGACAGAAACATTAGGACCCGAACTATTGCCCCCAAGAAATCAACTAATCACTTGCTCGACAGAAACATTAGGACCCGAACTATTGCCCCCAAGAAATCAACTAATCACTTGCTCGACAGAAACATTAATACCCGAACCATTGCCCCCAAGAAATCAACTGATCACTTGTGACCCGAACTATTGCCCCAAGAAATCAACTAATCACTTGCTCGACAGAAACATTAGGACCCGAACTATTGCACCCAAGAAATGAACTAATCACTTGCTCAACAGAAACATTAGGACCCGAACCATTGCCCCCAAATCAACTGATCACTTGCTGGACAGAAACATTAGGACCCGAACTATTGCCCAAGAAATCAACTGATCACTTGCTCGAACAGAAACATTAGGACCGAACTATTGCACCCAAGAAATCAACGTCACTTGCTCAACAGAACATTAGGACCCGAACCATTGCCCCCTTTTGAAATCAACTAATCACTTGTCGACAAAACATTAGGACCCGAACTATTGCCCCCAAAACAACGAATCACTTGCTGGACAGAAACATTGAGACCCGAACTATTGCCCCCAAGAAATCAACGAAGCACTTGCTTTCTTATAGGACCCGAACTATTGCCCCAAGAAATCAACTAATCACTTGCTCGGAAACATTAATACCCGAGCCATTGCCCCCAAGAAATCAACTGATCACTTGCGTGGTAGAAACATTAGGACCCGAACTTTTGCCCCCAAGAAATCAACTAATCACTTGCTCGACAGAAACATTAGGACCCACTATTTGCACCCAAGAAATGAACTAATCACTTGCTCAACAGAAACACAGACCCGAACCATTGCCCCAAGAAATAACTGATGCTTTGGACAGAAACATAGGACCCTCTATTGCCCCAAGAATCAACTGATCATTGGGATTAGGAACCCTTACTACTGCACCCAAGAAATCAACGAATCACTTGCTCAACAGAAACATTAGGACCCGAACCATTGCCCCCAAGAAATCAACTAATCACTTGCTCGACAGAAACATTAGGACCCGAACCATTGCCCCCAAGAAATCAACTGATCACTTGCTGGACAGAAACATTAGGACCCGAACTATTGCCCCCAAGAAATCAACTAATCGCTTGCTCGACAGAAACATTAGGACCCGAACCATTGCCCCCAAGAAATCAACGAAGCAATTTGCTCTTTAACTGCAATGAAAAAAGATGCTACGATGACAATTAGCAACACATTTAAAGCATTAAACATATCTAAAACTATGACATCTGACAAGCTCTATATATATATATAACTATATTATCCATTCCCAAGCTTATTCCTAGATTTGTTTAAAACGGGACAATAGGCGGGACACACAGAGAAAAGAACAACCGAAACTGCTCTAAAGAAAGTGGTCACGCTAGTTCGACAGCAACAAACCACGAGCGGATTGGACAAGAGTTTGGGAGAAAGAACGCTCGGGATTCAAGCGAAAATTGATCTCTGTTGTGTTCTCAGCACTTTTCTGTGTGGCAGTGAAACTTGGTCAGCTTGCACCAGAAACAATGACTAAACAGATTTCACCTGTAACGCCTAAGGACAATAAATGGCAGGACAAGATCACAAACACGGAGGTATTGGAGAGAGCAGGTACTACAACAGTCTTCTCAATGCTCTGTCTACGAAGGCTCAGGTGGCTGGGTCACACCTAGACAATGAAGAATTGCAGTCCCTAAGGACATCCTCCATGGTGAATTAAAGATGTGTAGAAGATGTCGAGGCCGACCTTTGCTACGATATAAAGATGTACGCAGGCAGGAAAAGAATGATACAGGTATTGATATGCATTCATTAAACTAGAATGTCATGGATGGCACAGCATCAAGGGATGGAACCAGGAAGGGAATATGGACAAATGAGAACTGTATTGCAGACAAGAAAAGAGCTGTGCATTTGAGAAGACGCCTTTCAAATACATGTAAGAGCAAATGTGGTGCAGAAATCTCTTGCAATTGTATACTATTTTCTTAATATGGGAGGCTAGTCACTCTCACAAATGAGATGTCTGAGAAGGGCTGTAGGAGTGACCATAAGAGATAAGATCAGGAATGAGATCATGAAGAGAAAAAGTCGGCACAGAACCAATTCTAAATTACATACGAAGACAGCAAGTGAAATGGTTTACCCACTTAGAGAGAATGCCTTGTGACACCATACCATTCAAAGCATACATGGAAAGAGAAGAAGGACATAGAGCACGAGGTAGACCAAGAACAAAATGGAAGGATAACATCAGAGAAACTCTACAACAGCACGATGTGCCCATGGTCAAGGCGGCCAGAAGAGCTAGAAACAGAACCTTATATCTCCCTCGACACCCACAGCGGTAACAGAGGAAGTGAAGAAGAAGAAGAAGAAGTCACTCTCGCCATGGGTTATAATTCACATGCTTTCTTAGGGCACCATGTAACACTTTTGTCTGTAAAGATGGAAAGGTGCCGGTGACAACAGATGTTGATTTGTATATGATAAAGTACTCATTTTAATCACTGGTGGTCAGAAAACTGTTTCAGTCATTGTTGGTGAGATAACTATCTCAGTCATTAGTGGTCATATATATATATATATATATATATATTGTTGGTATAGATATTTATCTCAGTCATATATATATTATATAGATATATATATATCTATAGTATATATGGTAAGATATGGTCAGATATATCTGTCATTAGTGTTCAGATATCTATCTCAATCATTGGTGGTGACATAACTAATTCTATCATTAGTGGTCATATATCTATCTCTGTCATTGGTAGTCAGATATATATCTCAAACATTGGTGGTGAGATATCTATCTTAATCATTAGTGGTGAAATATCTATCTCAATCATTGGTGGTCAGATATTTATCTCAATCATTAGTGTTCAGATAGTTATCTCAATCATTGGTGGTCAGATATCTATCTCAATCATTGGTGGTCAGATATTTATCTCAATCATTGGTGGTCAGATATTTATCTCAATCATTGGTGGTCAGATATTTATCTCAATCATTGGTGGTCAGATATATATCTCAATCATTGTCAGATATCTATCTCAATCATTGGTGGTCAGATATTTATCTCAATCATTGGTGGTCAGATATCTATCTCAATCATTGGTGGTCAGATATCTATCTCAATCATTGGTGGTCAGATATCTATCTCAATCATTGGTGGTCAGATATTTATCTCAATCATTGGTGGTCAGATATTTATCTCAATCATTGGTGGTCAGATATTTATCTCAATCATTGGTAGTCAGATATTTATCTCAATCATTGGTAGTCAGATATATATCTCAAACATTGGTGGTGAGATATCTATCTTAATCATTGGTGGTGAAATATCTATCTCAATCATTGGTGGTCAGATATTTATCTCAATCATTAGTGTTCAGATATTTATCTCAATCATTAGTGTTCAGATAGTTATCTCAATTATTGGTGGTCAGATATTTATCTCAATCATTGGTGGTCAGATATTTATCTCAATCATTGGTGGTCAGATATTTATCTCAATCATTAGTGTTCAGGTAGTTATCTCAATCATTGGTGGTCAGATATTTATCTCAATCATTGGTGGTCAGATATTTATCTCAATCATTAGTGTTCAGATATTTATCTCAATCATTAGTGTTCAGATATTTATCTCAATCATTGGTAGTCAGATATATATCTCAAACATTGGTGGTGAGATATCTATCTTAATCATTGGTGGTGAAATATCTATCTCAATCATTGGTGGTCAGATATTTATCTCAATCATTAGTGTTCAGATATTTATCTCAATCATTAGTGTTCAGATAGTTATCTCAATCATTGGTGGTCAGATATTTATCTCAATCATTGGTGGTCAGATATTTATCTCAATCATTGGTGGTCAGATATTTATCTCAATCATTGGTGGTCAGATATTTATCTCAATCATTAGTGTTCAGATAGTTATCTCAATCATTGGTGGTCAGATATTTATCTCAATCATTAGTGTTCAGATATCTATCTCAATCATTGGTGGTCAGATATTTATCTCAATCATTAGTGTTCAGATATCTATCTCAATCATTGGTGGTCATATAACTATCAGAGACTGATTGCCCACCTACTTGGCACTTGCACGGATGTCTTCTATGGCTCCTTGCCAGTCCAGCTGGCCCATGTAGTGTCCAGCCGTCTCATTGTCAGTGGCCACTTGACCCCGGTATAAATCTGGGACAAGAGTCACCATGTTGGTCTTCGAACAGATGTCCTTGCTGCAATCTTGTATCTGTTGGTTGACACCCCACCACTCCTGCAACACACGGGTTAACACACACATAAATCAGCACACATCAACACATCAGTCAGCTCATAGACCAGTACATACACATCAGTCAGCTCATAGACCAGTACATACACATCAGTCAGCACACATCAACACATCAGTCAGTTCATAGACCAGTACATACACATCAGTCAGCTCATAGACCAGTACATACACATCAATCAGCACACATCAACACATCAGTCAGTTCACAGACCAGTACATACACATCAATCAGCACACGTTAACACATCAGTCAGTTCACAGACCAGTACATACACATCAATCAGCACACATCAACACACCAGTCAGCTCACAGACCAGTACATACACATCAATCAGCACACATCAACACATCAGTCAGCTCATAGACCAGTACATACACATCAATCAGCACACATCAACACATCAGTCAGCTCATAGACCAGTACATACACATCAATCAGCACACATAAACACACCATTCAGCTCACAGACCAGTACATACACATCAATCAGCACACATCAACACATCAGTCAGCTCATAGACAGGTATATACACATCAAGCAGCATACATCAACACACCAGTCAGCCCACAGACCAGTACATACACATCAATCAGCACACATCAACACATCAGTCAGCTCATAGACCAGTATATACACATCAAGCACCATACATCAACACATCAGTCAGCTCATAGACCAATACACACACACCAGTCAGCTCATAGACCAGTACTATCACATCCATCAGCACACATTAACACATCAGTCAGCTCACAGTCCAGTACACACACGTCAATCAGCACATATCAAAACACTAGTCAGCTCACAGACCAGTACATACATACGCGCGCACACACATCAGTCAGTACACACACCAGTCAGCAGAGAGATAGGTGCACACATCAATCAGCAGAGACATCAGTACACACACCAATCAGCAGAGAGATCAGTAAACACATCAATCAGCAGAGAGATCAGTACACACACCAATCAGCAGAGACATCAGTACACGCATCAATCAGCAGAGACATCAGTACACGCATCAATCAGCAGAGACATCAGTTCATACACCAATCAGCAGAAGCATCAATACACACATCAATTAGCAGAGACATCAGTACACACATCAATCAGCAAAGAGATCAGTACACACATCAATCAGCAGAGACATCAGTACACACACCAATCAGCAGAGACATCAGTACACACATCAATCAGCAGAGACATCAGTACACACACCAATCAGCAGAGACATCAGTACACACATCAATTAGCAGAGACATCAGTACACACATCAATCAGCAAAGAGATCAGTACACACATCAATCAGCAGAGGCATCAGTGCACACATCAATCAGCAGAGAGATCAGTGCACACACCAATCATCAGAGACATTAGTACACACATCAATCAGCAGAGACATCAGTACACACATCAATCAGCAGAGACATATGTACACACATCAATCAGCAGAGACATCAGTACACACATCAATCAGAAGAGAGATCAGTACTCTCATCAATTAGAGGAGAGATCAGTACACACATCAATCAGCAGAGACACCAGTACACACATCAATCAGCAAAGAGATCAGTACACACATCAATCAGAAGAGAGATCAGTACACACATCAATCAGAAGAGACATCAGTACACACATCAGTCAGAAGAGACATCAGTACACACATCAATCAGCAGAGACACCAGTAAATACATCAATCAGCAGATACACCAGTACATACATCAATCAGCAGAGAGATCAGTAAACACATCAATCAGCAGAGACATTAGTACACACACCAATCAGCAGAGACATCAATACACAGATCAATCAGCAGAGACATCAGAACACATATCAATCAGCAGAGAGATCGGTACACACATCAATCAGCAGAGAGATCAGTACACACATCAATCAGAAGAGACATCAGTACACACATCAATCAGAAGAGAGATTAGTACACACATCAATCAGCAGAGACATCAGTACACACATCAATCAGCAGAGACATCAGTACACACATCAATCAGAAGAGACAGCAGTACACACATCAATCAGCAGATACATCAGTACACACATCAATTAGAACAGAGGTCAGTACACACATCAATCAGCAGAGACATCAGTACACACATCAATCAGCAGAGACATCAGTATACACATCAATCAGAAGAGACAGCAGTACACACATCAATCAGCAGAGACATCAGTACACACATCAATCAGCAGAGACATCAGTACACACATCAATCAGCAGAGACATCAGTACACACATCAATCAGCAGAGACATCAGTACACACATCAATCAGAAGAGACATCAGTAAACACATCAATCAGCAGAGACATCAGTATACACATCAACCAGGAGACATCAGTACTCACATCAATCACAAGAGACATCAGTACACACATCAATCAGAAGAGAGATCAGTACACACACCAATCAGCAGAGACATCAGTACACACATCAATCAGAAGAGAGATCAGTACACACACCAATCAGCAGAGACTTCAGTACACACATCAATCAGAAGAGAAATCGGTACACACATCAATCCGCAGAGAAATCGGTACACACACCAATCAGCATACATATTAGCATATCATTAAGATAAACGTCGTGATTGATATAGTGGTACAGATTTACACACCAACACACACACACACGCACGCACACACACATCAGCACACACACACACACACGTGAACATTGCATATAACACAGATCGACACACACACATCGACACACACACACACACACAGATCGACATACTGTAATTCGTCTGGTGTCGCTGATGTGATGATAATAATAAGATGAAGACATGCACATACACATACATACACACACACATATATACACACGCACTTGCACAGTGGGCCGTACAGGCAATGCTTGTTACCTGCAGAACAATAATCCCCATGGTTGCTGTCTTGGGATCTCCAAACAACAGGGCAGGACAGGCTCCCAGTTTGTTGTTGCTGGGACATTCGACTTTCTTCGGAGATGACATGGCCAGGCTTGAAGCGACTGCAGACTATAGAACAGAAGATATGACAGATGTGTTTGTATCAACAGTAGACTGTAGGACAGAAATACAAGACTGGACAGGAAAGAGATGTTAGAGTTAACAGTAGACTGAAGAAAGACAAGACTTGACAGGAATGAGATGTTTGAGTCAACAGTAGACTGTAGGACAGAAAGACAAGACTGGACAGGAAAGAGATGTTTGAGTCAACAGTAGACTGTAGGACAGAAAGACAAGACTTGACAGGAATGAGATGTTTGAGTCAACAGTAGACTGTAGGACAGAAAGACAAGACTGGACAGGAAAGAGATGTTTGAGTCAACAGTAGACTGTAGGACAGAAAGACAAGACTGGACAGGAAAGAGATGTTTGAGTCAACAGTAGACTGTAGGACAGAAAGACAAGACTGGACAGGACAGAGATGTTCACAGTAGACTGTAGGACAGAAAGACAAGACATGAGTGAAGTCTTAGGTAACTGAAGGCTATAGAGTAGACAGACAATAGTCAAGACAGGGATGTATGAGACAACGGCATAGTTGTGTGACTTAAAAAGTCACACACAATGCAAAAATATTATCAAGTGCATAACCGACTGGCGTTGTCGATTATGTCTGTGCACAAAGTGCGTGATTTAGTTTGTGTGCTGATACCCCTCCATGCCGTGACAAAAAGACTGCCAAGACTCTTTCTCACGCTGTTTTCCGCGGTCTCTCTTTCCACAGATCTTTTCAGTTGTCACAGCATTTTCAATTTTCCCTTTTCTCAGAACACGACCAAAAAATGATGACTGTCTCATTGTCATGTTTATGAGAATTTGTGTTCGAGCACTCGTCTCTTCCAAAACATCTGGGTAGCTCTTCTTACGTGACCAAGTAATTCTAAGGATTCTTCTGTAAAACCAAATCTCTGAGAACTCAGATATATGATATGAGACGTTTAAAAAGAATTTATACCTTATTATGTAGGCGTGAGCCTAGAGTGAGTCTAGTGGAGGGAGTCTAGTGGAGTGAGTCTGGTGGAGTGAGTCTAGTGGAGTGATTCTTGCAGAGTAAATCTAGTGAAGTGAGTCTAGTGGAGTGAGTCTAGTGGAGTGAGTCTGGTGGAGTGAGTCTAGTGGAGTGATTCTTGCAGGGTAAATCTAGTGGAGTGAGTCTAGTGGAGTGAGTCTAGTGGAGTGAGTCTGGTGGAGTGATTCTTGCAGAGTAAATCTAGTGGAGTGAGTCTAGTGGAGTGATTCTTGCAGAGTAAATCTAGTGGAGTGAGTCTAGTGGAATAGGTCTGGTGAAGTGATTCTTGCAGAGTAAATCTAGTGGAGTGAGTCTAGTGGAGTGAGTCTGGTGGAGTGAGTCTAGTGGAGTGATTCTTGCAGGGTAAATCTAGTGGAGTGAGTCTAGTGGAGTGAGTCTAGTGGAGTGAGTCTGGTGGAGTGATTCTTGCAGAGTAAATCTAGTGGAGTGAGTCTAGTGGAGTGATTCTTGCAGAGTAAATCTAGTGGAGTGAGTCTAGTGGAATAGGTCTGGTGAAGTGATTCTTGCAGAGTAAATCTAGTGGAGTGAGTCTAGTGGAGTGAGTCTTGCAGAGTAAATCTAGTGGAGTGAGTCTAGTAGAGTAAGTCTAGCAAAGAGTGAGTCTAGTGGAGTAAGTCTAGCAAAGTGAGTCTAGTGGAGTGTGTCTAGTGAAGTGAGTCAAGTGGAGTGAGTCGAGTGGAGTTAATCTAGCAGAGTAAATCTAGTGGAGTGAGTCTAGTAGAGTAAGTCTAGCAAAGTGAGTCTAGTGGAGTGTGTCTAGTGGAGTGAGTCTAGTGGAGTGAGTCTAGTCTAGTGGAGTGATTCTTGCAGAGTAAATCTAGTGGAGTGAGTCTAGTAGAGTAAGTCTAGCAAAGTGAGTCTAGTGGAGTGTCTAGTCTAGTGGAGTGAGTCTAGTGGAGTGATTCTTGCAGAGTAAATCTAGTGGAGTGAGTCTTGCAGAGTAAATCTAGTGGAGTGAGTCTAGTAGAGTAAGTCTAGCAAAGTGAGTCTAGTGGAGTGTGTCTAGTCTAGTGGAGTGAGTCTAGTGAAGTGAGTCGAGTGGAGTGAATCTAGTGGATTAAGTCTAGCAAAGTGAGTCTAGTGGAGTGAGTCTAGTGGAGTGAGTCTAGTGGAGTGTGTCTAGTCTAGTGGAGTGATTCTTGCAGAGTAAATCTAGTAGAGTGAGTCTAGTAGAGTAAGTCTAGCAAAGTGAGTCTAGTGGAGTGTGTCTAGTCTAGTGGAGTGAGTCTAGTGGAGTGATTCTTGCAGAGTAAATCTAGTGGAGTGAGTCTAGTGGAGTAAGTCTAGCAAAGTGAGTCTAGTGGAGTGTGTCTAGTCTAGTGGAGTGTGTCTAGTCTAGTGGAGTGAGTCTAGTGGAGTGAGTCGAGTGGAGTGAATCTAGCAGACTGAGTATAGCAGAGTGAATCTATTTGAGTGAATCTAGTGCAGTGAGTCTAATGGAGTCTGTCAAGTAGAGTGAGTCTAGTGGAGTAAGTCTAGTGAAGTGATTCAATTAGAGTCAGTTTAGTTGAGTGAGTTAGTCTAGTTGAGTGAGTTAGTCTGGTGGAGTGAGTCTAGTAGAGTGAGATAAGTGAAATGAGTCTAGTGAAAAAAATCTACCATGTGAGTCTAGTGGAGTCAGTCTATTGGAGTCAGTCTATTGGAGTGAGTCTATTGGAGTGAGTCTAGTGTAGTAAGTCTAGCAGAGTTAGTCTAGTGGAGTGAGTTAGTCTAGCGGAGTGGGTCTAACAGAGTGAGTCTGGCGGAGTGAGTTAGTCTAGCGGAGTGGGTCTAACAGAGTGAGTCTGGCAGAGTGAGTTAGTCTAGCGGATTGGGTCTAACAGAGTGAGTCTGGCGGAGTGAGTCTAGTGGAGTGAGTCTATAGAAGTCAATCTAGTTAAATGAGTTAGTCTAGTGGAGTGAGTCTAGCAGAGTTTAGTAGCGTGGGTCAGTCAAGTGTAGTAAATCTAGCAGAGTGAGTCTGGCAAAATGAGTCTATTAGAGTGAGTCTAGTGGAGTGGGTCTAGCAGAGTTTAGTAGAGTGAGTCAGTTTAGTGGAGTGAGTCTGGCAGAGTGAGTTTAGTGGAGTGAGTCTGGCGGAATGAGTTTAGTGGAGTGAGTCTGGCGGAGTGAGTTTAGTGGAGTGAGTCTGGCGGAGTGAGTTTAGTGGAGTCAGTCGAATAAAGTGAGTCTAGCAGAGGGAGACTAGTGAAGTGGGTTTAGATGAGTGAGTCTAGCAAAGTCTAGTGGAGTTGAGTGAGTCCAGTGGGGTGAGTCTAGCAAAGTCTAGTGGAGTTGAGTGAGTCCTGTGGGGTGAGTCTAGCAAAGTCTAGTGGAGTTGAGTGAGTCCAGTGGGGTGAGTCTAGCAAAGTCTAGTGGAGTTGAGTGAGTCCAGTGGGGTGAGTCTAGCAAAGTCTAGTGGAGTTGAGTGAGTCCAGTGGGGTGAGTCTAGCAAAGTCTAGTGGAGTTGAGTGAATCCAGTGGGGTGAGTCTAGCAAAGTCTAGTGGAGTTGAGTGAGTCCAGTGGGGTGAGTCTAGCAAAGTCTAGTGGAGTTGAGTGAGTCCAGTGGGGTGAGTCTAACAAAGTGAGTCTAGCAGAGTAAGTTTAGTGGAGCGAGTCGAGTGGAGTGAGTCTAAATGAGTGATTCTAGCGGAACAAGTCTAGCGGAGTGAGTCACCGCCACAAAATCGACTTCTTTGTTCTAATAAACATTGTCCCTGGGCAAGTGAAAATCAGTAAAGGTGTGCTTGGTTCAGTGACAAATTTTTTTGTTGCAGCGTCATGATAGACGGCGTAGGGTCTACCATAGACAAAATGAAGGTTTAGCCCAACATTGTGTTGATGAAGCTCTGCTGCACGGTGGTGGAGGTGTAATGATTTGGGGAATGATCAGTTACAATGGAATGAGTCAACTGATACACATTGAAGAAGGAAGCTTGAATGTGCAGCGATATGCCTATGTCATTCTTCCATCACCTGTCCTATTTTGGGATGCCAACAGATAACAGACAACGCCAGACCTCATTCTGCACAGCTGACCACACGGTTCCTGGCTGCCAATAACATTGAAACCCTTCCCTGGCCATCCCTGTCTGTAGACCTGAGTCCGATTGAGCACCTGTGGGATGAGCTGCATGGACGTGTTTGTCCCCCAAACGTTGCTCCAGCCATTGGTCGTGATCTGTTCCAGACACTCCAGGAAGAGTGGGCAGCCATCCCACAGACCCACATCAGTCATCTGATCGCATCCATGCCCAGGAGATCCCAGTCACTGATCCACGCAAGAGGAGACCACACACCATACTAACGGGAAAGGCTTACGCCTAAAAATTATCGAGAGAGAGAGAGAGTTAATAGACCAGCAGACAGACAGAAAAGTACCGCTGTGGGAATGCCAAGTTAAAAATCAGGACCGATTCCAGAGAGGGACACATTTGTTAACGAGAAAACCAGTAACTTACCTGTAAACACGACAACCTAGAGGACATCGACAACACCAGTGACTTACCTGTAAAGACGACAACCTAGAGGACATCGACAACACCAGTGACTTACCTGTAAAGACGACAACCTAGAGGACAACACCAGTGACTTACCTGTAAACACGACAACCTAGAGGACAACACCAGTGACTTACCTGTAAACACGACAACCTAGAGGACACCGACAATACCAGTGACTTACCTGTAAACACGACAACCTAGAGGACAACACCAGTGACTTACCTGTAGACACGACAACCTAGAGGACAACACCAGTGACTTACCTGTAGACACGACAACCTAGAGGACAACACCAGTGACTTACCTGTAAACACGACAACCTAGAGGACAACACCAGTGACTTACCTGTAAACACGACAACCTAGAGGACAACACCAGTGACTTACCTGTAAACACGACAACCTAGAGGACAACACCAGTGACTTACCTGTAAAGACGACAACCTAGAGGACAACACCAGTGACTTACCTGT